GAACTATTCTGATGGTGGATGGTTTTATAACTGGACTAAATGTCTCAAAATAGTCCAAACTAGAAGTTTGTTGAAACCCCTTAGCTACTAGTCTGGCTTTGTACTTCTGCAAAGTACCATCAGCATTCAATTTTGTTCTGAAAACCCATTTATTAGCCACAATATTCATGTCTGCAGTAGGAGAAACAAGGGTCCAGGTGTTGTTCCTAATTAGAGCATCAAATTCTGCCTGCATAGCCTCTTTCCAAACTCCAGTTTTTAATGCTTCAGCAACTGACACAGGTTCTAATTCTATAATGGGCTGACTAGCTGTAAGATAAACAGCATGATCCAAAGACTCACAGGTTGAATTAACATGACCAACAACAGCTTTGGCCCTTGTAATCATAGGGTGAGAATTAATTTTGATAGGAAGTTGATCATTAGGGAACTGTGAAGCAGTAAGGTCAACCTCAAGCTGACAATTTGGTAAAGTACCTAATGATGGATGGTAGGTAATAGAGATGGAGAAGAACAAGATAGAATAGACTAAGATTGAACAGTCTGCAAATTTGTATTAGAACTGCCAGAGTGTGCCTTTAGAGGTAGACTGGAATTAGAAATCTTACAACTAGATGCAGGATCACAGGCTGGTATTGGAGTATCTAGGTCAACTTCAATATGACATGTTGGCAAATTGTAGGAGGAAGAAATAACAGGTAGTTAAGACACTGGATTAAGACTGTTTGAGTTAGATGGGAAAAATTCTGATTGAATGGTATGTAATGGAAAACTAGATTGTTCTGCAACTTTAGAGATACTAGGTAAGGATGAATCAAGCAAGTGTGAAGAGGATGTACCTGCTGCTAAAGAGTAAGTGCCAACTACTGGATTGTTAGGAACAGTCTGAGAGCCAGTTACCACTTGGGGATCAGAGGCTACTGAAGATGGACTATGCTGGAAAATTGTATATGGCAGGGGATATATATTATTGGAACAAGTATTAGGGGAATTGGCTGAAGGATCAATATTAGGTTGAACAGAAAGCTTATTAAACTCTTGAGAATATGGAAACTCATTTTCATTAAACTTAACACTAGGAGTAATAAAGATCTTCCCATCAGCCCTTAGACATTTATAACCTTTGTGAAGTAAACTATACCCGACAAATGCACATTTTGAGGAATGAAAATCAAACTTGTGACTATGAAAATTTCGAAGAAAAGGGAAACAAGCACAGCCAAAAACTTTAAGACTATCATACACAGGATATTTTTTAAAAAGCAGATAATAGGTAGTGTTATTATTTAAGATAGTAGTGGGCTGTCGGTTGATGAGAAAAGCTGCTGTTTCAAAGGCCAGCCACCAATAGTTTAAGGGCATAGATGCATGAGCTAATAAGGTAAGTCCTGTTTCAATAATGTGCCTATGTTTCATCTCACTACGGCCATTTTGCTGGTGGACATAGGCACATGAGTACCTAGGTTGAATACCATTTTCAATCAGATAAAGAAGTAAGGCTTTGTACTCACCTCCTTGATCTGACTGAAGACACTTCAGCTTAGTTCCAAACTGCCTCCCAGTAAGGTGATGAAACTTGATAAAGGTAGATTTAACTTCAGCTTTAGTCCTAAAAGGAAACAGCCAGGTGAACCAACTAAAATCGTCTAGAAACTATACATAATACTTAAATCTTTCTACTGAAGTGACTGGGGCAAGACCCCACACATCACTGTGAACAAGAGCTAAGGGTTCTGTGGCATGAGATTGGGACAAGGGAAAACTGTTTTGATGTAACTTTCCTAGCTGACACGCATCACAGAAACTAGACACTTTGGTAGGCAGAATCTGATTTTCAGTGAGAGAGATAGATTTGGGAAGTGTAGACAAGACTTTATGTAATTTAGTAGAGTTGGGATGACCCAATCTTTTATGCCAAATCATGTGTTGGTATGAGTGTTTGTCAACAGTCAAGCAATTTGGTGTGGACAATTGTTCATTAACAGGACATTTAACCTTGTTTTCAACCACTGAGGCAATAGACTTAAATAGTAATTCATCATCATGTATTTCATTAGTATGAACAGTAGAACAAGCATTATCAGGGTGATTAACACAATTGTCAACCCTTGATGCAGGAGACTCAAATGTGAACTCATCAGCATGTATTTCATTAGTATTAACAGTAGAACAAGCATAAGATTCAACAGAATTACATTTTGACTCATTTTTGGAACAAGAAACACTACACTGTGTTGTAAAAATAGCATCTTTATTATAGCTAACATTCGAAACTACATCAGAATTTTTATTGACATTTTCAACTAACTCTAGATGTTGATTGGACAATTGAGGATTGGTCACAAGTTTATTGAAAGGCTGAGAGGAGTCTTTGATGGAAGGGCTCATAAAATGTGCAGTGGCTGCCAAGTTTTGGGACAGATAGGCTGTATTTGCTGTATTCAGACCAGGTTGATGATAAGAGACACATGGTTTTGACAGATCAGTTGTGTTTGATGGAATTTCCAGCTGATAAAGTCCTTCTTTAAGACCCCCTTGTTGTAACATGGCCTTGGTTGACTTGTCCTTGACAACACAAGAGTTAGCATCAAACTCAACAACAACATTATTATCCCTAGTAAACCTAGAAATACTCAGTAGATTTTTTTGTGATTTTAGGAACACAAAATATGTTTTTAAGATAAAGACACTTAGAATGAAGACTACTAGGAATAAAAGAATACCCAGTATGGGAAATGTGAAGGTACTCACCATTGCCAACCTGAAGTTTATCCTCACCTTCATAGTTCTTGGTTAGCTGAGATAGGTTGGAAGTGACATGATCAGTTGCCCGGGAGTCCATATACCATGCTGGATCAACTGGAGTAGTGGCAAAAGCCTGTGGATTGTTGTATAGTGATGTGCAACTATGGTCTGAAAAAGCATTACTTCCAGGATACACCATTGAGTTACTACCAGTATGAACCAGATTTGCTTGACTATTGGCTCCCATCTGGTGACTAGGAACTCCAAAAGTTACTGGAGTACTAAAATTACTCTTAGAAGTTCCAGTGTACTATGACTAATGTGGGATAAAATGTTGTTGCTGTGACTAATTGAACTGTGATTGCTATGGATTATAGTGTGGTTGCTGTGTTTGAAAAATACTATCAGGATATTGCTGGGAGGTACCAATAGGAGGGTACTGTATTGGTTCAGTAGGATAAGTGTTGAAATGTTGTTGTGGTACTAGATTAGTAAACATGTGACTGGGAAAACTTCCATTGCCAGCTTGAAAAGTGCCATTATAAGTTGAGTTATATCTATGATAACACTGTATGGCTGAGTGTCCAACTTTATTGCAAACTTGACAAATAATTCTCCCTCTACTTATACCTCTACCTTTGCCTCTTCCATATGTGTTAAAAAACAGAGGATCTAGGGTTAAAGGGCATAGTGTTGTAAGGTAAATGAGAGTTAGCAATAGGGCCAGGAGAAAAAGGTTGAGTTGTGGTGTTGTAGGTAGAGAATGAAGTCTGAACAGATGGAACAGGGGGCTGAACAGGTGAGTTTACATAGGAGGGTAAGGTGACATAGTTTTGTGAGGTGTGTGGGTTCCCAAGAGACATTAGAGAGGGTATGGTACTGCTCAGATTGTCTGCAGTTTTGACAGGAGGATTGACTGGTATACTAGTACCAGACACATTATAGCAACCATGATTCGTTATGGAGGCTATATTTGCTGAAGTGTTGTAAAGATCTGTGGAATTAAACTTCTCAAAACAGATTTCATATTTCTACAACAGAAACTGTGCCTCTTGAAGAGTTACAGTATCCACTTTCGATTCAAGTCTAGAGATGAGTGTCATTACTGTTGGAACATATTTAGGCCCTAGACCATCTAACACATACTGTAATAAGTCTCCATCAGAGATAATCAATCCACTTGCAGCTAAACTTTCTGCAGTTTCTTTTATTTTCTTCACATAGTCACTAATACTCAATCCTCCTTTATGAGTTGTTTTAAGCAATTTTTTCAAATGTAAAGCTCTAGCTTTTGAGTCTGTAACAAACTCACTTTCTAAGGCTAACCAAATTTCAATGGAAAACCTACACTTAGACACAACACAGAACATGCTTTCACTAATTGAAGCTAGTAACCAACTCACTAAGCATTTATCAGTCTTTTTCTACAGTATATAAGCTGGATTTAAACTTTCTCCAACAGTATTACAACTCAGTTCAACTTCAGAATCATTAATTAGAATAGGTGAAGGACAAGGCACTCTACCTAATAGATGATCTTTTAGCTCATGTGAGCCAACAACAAAGAGAATCTGAGAGCTCCAAAACCAATAATTGTTCCTCGTCAGCTTGGGATTAATTACTTGCAAGCTCGAGGCAAGAACCGAGGTAGTCCGATTTTGCATTTCAGACATCATCTTCCTGGTGCTGTTAAGCGACTGAGAGATAGCAGGATCTGAGGCCATTGACGTTAGTCAGTGCTCTGATACCATGTAAAACTAGCTTAGGGTTTGCAAACAAAAAAGAAAAATAGAGAGAAATGTGTTTGATTTTTGTTTACTTAATGATTCAATTCATCAAGCTACAGTAAAGAACAACTTTACTCTTTTGTACAAAGACAAGGACGAAGAGTAAAGTAGTTAAGTAAAGTACATTGTACAACTGACTTTACTGAAATAAAAAACAACACCTTCTTGCAGAATTACAATTTCCTCCTGCTACTTGAATTTTTTGCATTTTCGTCCTTTGACCAACATTTACCACATAAGGCTAGCCACTCAAGATATTTTAAATTACCAATTGCACTAGGAATGAAGCCTGAGAATGAGTTCCATCCCATCTCTAGTTCAGAGAGCTTAGAAGACTTTGTAATGAAATTGAGAAATGTCCCACTGAAATTATTATGCCCCAAGTAAAGTTCCTTAAGATTTGGAAGCTATGCACTAGGTGGAAGTAGTTTTATTGTAGAGATGTTGAAGATAGCATAAGTTATTCTGCTTTAAGGAATCATACTTCACATTTTTGAATCCTGAGTATCAGTATCATCAATGCAACATAGACATTCAACTCTGTTCAGAATGACAGAAAATAAATCTTAGTCCTTTCTGCATATTTTGTTAGTGAACATTCAACTGAGATGAGCTATATCAACCTCGTCTGGAATTTTAAATGTGTCAGCAGCACCAAACTTCCTCTGTTCTTCCCTATCTTCATCATATTTATCTTCAACACTATCGGTTTCTTCATCTAGGAAACTGGTAAGTGAGAGGTCATTTATGCTTCTGGACCGGCAACTTGGGATGGCAAGCATGCTCACGTGGCCTAGGTGAGAAATTTCCACAACTACAGTGTCATCATCCTCTAGGAGAGGTTGTTTTCATGGCTCACCATCTATTCTCATGAATGTATGGTCAGTAACACCCTTTTGAAAGTCAAGAAAGATTCTGTTTGCCTACATACAACAATGAAAAATAAAAATTAAAGCCAAGATAGAAACAAGCTAATTAAAATTTCTGCACATCACATATTGTGTAGCATAGAACTAGTAAAAATTCAAGGAAAAGTTTAAGCATTATGAGTTGAAAACAAAAATATGATTTATCTCCTACCTGAGCAAGACGAGTCCCATGTCCATTTGGAGCAAGCAAAACAAGTCCATGCCAAGCATCTCTAAAACCGACAATCTCAATAAGGCCATCATCTACATATGGAGGAGTCAAGCCGCTCTAGAAATCAAAATTGTAGAGAGTTAGTAACTAATTGGTGAAAATGTGTTTTCACTTCATAACCCGAAGAAGTTATATTAAAAGTCAAAACTAACCTCCCGTATTTTCTTCCTTAATAATTTTCCCTAAGGATCAAGTCCACTAGAAAAACTGGGCAAGTTTAGGCAAACAATAGACCTAATGCTGTATGTCAGAAGACAAAGTGTTGGTGAACTGGGGAGTGAAAATTGACACAAATGAGAAATCATATGTAAATGTACTAGATTGAGGTCAATGCAGTTTTAGTTACAAGAAACAACATAAGACATTCAACACTTTAATGCTTTCCTCCTGTTCTTTATTGTTATTGTTCTTGCTTATGCCAGATGTGCAAAGAAAAGGAGAACTAATCTAATTTCATTATCAAAACAAGGACTGCATATAACATGCTTTTGCTTACTGTTACAACCACTGTCAATGAGACTTTTACACAATCCCCACCAACCACATTACATATTATAATGCAGAAAGCTAATTGTGTTAGTAAAATGCAAAAAAACTGAAGTGTTAGAAAAATGCAGAAAGTTGATTGTGTTAGTAAAATGCAAAAAAGCTGAAGTGTTAGAAAAAATGCAGAAAGTTGAATGGGATAGTAAAATGCAGAAAAGCTGAAGTGTTAGAAAAAGGCAGAAAGTTGAATGGGATAGTAGAATGAATATTTTAGTGGTATTTTTTTTTAGAGACCAATGCAGCGGCTGGATGTGTTAGTTGACTGATATTGCAGAAAATGCAGCTGTAACAGAAGGCAGAAAATGAGCGTGTGCATGTGCTAGGAAAAGAAAATGGCTGAGAAAACAATGCTGAAGCTGAATGAAGTAGAAACACTGCAGAAACTGAATGCAGTAGCAGACCAAGAAAAAAAAAAAAAAAAGGAAAACAGAATGGAATTGAAGTTGTGTTTAAGAGGGAATATTAGATGAAGTGGAGAAACGTTGTCCTGAATGTTTGAAGAGAAGTCCTGTTCGAGAGGGAATATTAGATAAAGTGTAGAAGAATTGTCCTGTATGTTTTGGAACGAGGTGAATTTGTAATAGTGTAAAGAAAGGGGGTTTACTGAATAGTCCAAGGAAAAATCAAACGCAGCGTTTTGTTTAATTCTGTATGTTCAAAACGCTGCGTTTCTTCATTGTTTTTTCACCAACTATAAAAGAGTTGGTCTTCGTCTTCTTCAAGAGAGAAATACAGTCACACATTTTCAACAGTTTTTTTTTTCAGTTTTTTGTTCAGTTACAGATTTATCAACAACGTCTTTCATACCCGAACCTATGTGTTAATGAGTTTTTTTTAGTGACATATATGCTAAAATTATTAATAACTTTTTTTTAAATGACATATATGTTATTGCTAAAAACTTGAGAGGAATGACAAATAGTTGTACACATATTAATTATGTTCTTTTAGCAAATTTTTGTCACAAAATATTACATTTAACTTGACTCAAATATTTTGTTATTAATACCTTGATTTTAATATATATATATATATGTATATATATATAATGATAAATAATTCTTTTGTGACAAATTAGTTTGTAATTATAGCATGTATTACTAAATATAGTAACTAAAGTTTTTGATGACAAATATGGTTTGCCATGTAAACAATTTATCTCGGCGCTTAAATTTTGACTCAAACATTTTGTTATTAATACCTCCATTTCAGCATATATTATAACAATTTATTTTTATAGCAATAAATAAATTCTTTTGTGACCAAATAATTTGTAGTTATAGCATGTATAACCAAATATAGTGACTAAAATGTTTTATGACAAAATATGTTTGTCACAATAAACAATTTACCTAGGTGCCAAAATTTGGCGCCAAAAATTTGTGATAAAATATTATGATAAAATTGTTTTTCTTCAATATATTTCTTATGGATTTCTTTATTGTGATAAAATATTATGACAATATTTGTTTTAGTCACTATATATTCATTTTGTCATACTTAATGTGATATTTTTTTATTTTGTCATAATACCTATATTACTTGTGATAAAATAGTTTTTGATAAAATTAATTTTGTCACAATATAATATATTTCTTGTAGTAATTAGAGACACAAAGCCTCAAAATAAGCTGAGTTTCTTGAGTCAAATTATAACACACAAGTTGACAAATTAAGCCTAAACTACTACACTCAAAACAGCACCATGCACGTCACTTTGGTTGCATCAAACCAACTTCAAACTTTTAGTTCCAGCAAAATATACTTCCAGCACAGCATCAACCTTCAACACTCCTCCTTGATGCTTTGGCTAGAAACACCAAGTTCTAGTCTTAGGGCTTCAAACTTGGATTTGCACAAAGCCTTTGTCATAATGTCAGCAACTTGCTCTTCTTCTCTACAGTGCATTAAGCTCACTTCACCACATTGTTCAGCTTCCCTTACTGCATGATATTTAATCTTGATGTGCTTAGTTCTGCCGTGGAGCACAGGGTTCTTTGCCATGGCCACTGCTGACTGGTTATCACACAAGATTATTGTAGGACCACCCTGCACTTGGTGCAAATCATCCAGCATCTTCCTAAGCCATATTGCCTGGTTCACTATTGCTGTAGTAGAGACATATTCAGCTTCAGTAGTAGACTGTGCCATAGTCTCCTGCTTCCTTGACAGCCAGCAAATTGCACCCTGATTCAAATAAAAAACATAACCAAAGGTGCTTATAGCATCATCCAAGGATCCACCCCAATCACAATCAATATACCCCAACAATTTCAGACTTTCAGCTTTCCTAAAACAGATGCCTAACATGATGGTTCTTTTTACATACCTCAGCACACGTTTAGCAACCTTGAAATGCAGTTCACTTGGGTTGTTCATGAACCTTGAAAGGTAACTTGCGATGAACATAAGATCAGGTCTGGTGGCTGTGTAATATAGCAAACTTCCCACCAAGCTCCTGTATTTCCCTTCATCCACCCTTTCTACACCATCAGTTTTGCTCAGTTTCAGGTTGGGAACCAGTGGGGTATCCACTGGTTTACAATTCTCTATTCCAAACTTCATGAGAATCTCGGTTGCATATCTCTGTTGGCACACAAAAATCTCACCTGCAGTCTGCCTTATCTCCATGGCTAGGAAATATTTGATCAATCCTAAGTTAGTCATTTCAAAATAAGTTTGCATGACTGACTTAAACTGGTCCAACTATTCAGGATTGCTTCCAGTCACCAATAAGTCATCAACATAAAGAGAGACCATAGCCAAACCCCTTCCAGTTTTACTTATGTAGAGAGTGTGTTCATTTGGACTTCTAGTGTAACCAAGGCTACACAAATGGTCATTTATTCGGATGTACCAGGCTCTAGGGGCCTGCTTCAAGCCATACAAGGCTTTCCTTAGCAAATACACATGATCCTCTTTGCCATCAACCTTGTAGCCTTCCAGTTGCTCCACAAAAATCTCCTTTGAAATCCACCCATTTAGGAATGCTGATTTGACATCTAGCTGGAAAATTTTCCAGTTAAACTGAGCTGCAAGTGCTAACAACAGCCTTATTGTGTCTTGTCTAGCTACCAAGGCAAAGGTTTCTGAAAAGTCAATACCTAGTTGTTGTGAAAAGCCCTTGACTACCAGCCTTGCCTTGTGCTTGTAAATTGAGCCATCAGGATTGATTTTCAGTTTGAAAATCCATTTCACCTGAATTACTTTCCTTTTTTCAGGTCTTGGTACCAATTTCCAGGTTTGGTTTTTATCAATCATGCTGAGCTCCTCCTACATCGCAGCCTTCCATAATTCAGACTTGGCAACTTCAAGATAACATCTTGGTTCCACCACTGCCACATTGCACCTTTCGTATACATCAGCCAGTGATCTTGTCCCTCTAACAACATGTTCTTCTTCCTCATCTAAATTAGTCTCTCGGATCAGGTCCTCATTCATCTCTTCCTGTCTTGATTCGGCCTGCACATCAACTCTCTTTTCTTCCCAGTTCTAGACTACACCTTCATCAACCTTTATATCTCTTATGATTACAATCTTCCTAGATTCAGGGATATAAACTCTATAGGCTTTAGAGTTGCTACTGTAGCCTATAAGTATCCCAATTTCAGCCTTATCATCCAATTTGGATCTTTTGCTTGCTGGGATCATTACATAGGCTATACTTCCAAATATTTTCAAGCTCCCTACAGCTGGTTTGACTCCACTCCATGCGTCAATTGGTGTTTGATGTTTGACTGCCAGGCAGCCTATTCAAAAGGAAGACTGTTGTATTAACAGCTTCAGCCCAGAACACTTTAGGAAGGTTTTTTTCAGTCATCATGCACCTAGCCATTTCCATAATGGTTCGGTTTCTTCTCTCACAAACACCATTCTGCTGAGAGGTGTATGGAGCTGTGAACTGATGTTAAATTCCAGCTTCACTGCAAATTGTGCCGAATTCATTTGAGGTGTATTCTGTCCCATTGTCACTCCTTATGGTTTTGATCAAAGTTCTAGCTTCATTCTCCACCAATAACTTGTATTTCTTGAACACAACANCTATTCCAAACTTCATGAGAATCTCGGTTGCATATCTCTGTTGGCACACAAAAATCTCACCTGCAGTCTGCCTTATCTCCATGGCTAGGAAATATTTGATCAATCCTAAGTTAGTCATTTCAAAATCAGTTTGCATGACTGACTTAAACTGGTCCAACTCTTCAGGATTGCTTCCAGTCACCAATAAGTCATCAACATAAAGAGAGACCATAGCCAAACCCCTTCCAGTTTTACTTATGTAGAGAGTGTGTTCATTTGGACTTCTAGTGTAACCAAGGCTTCACAAATGGTCATTTATTCGGATGTACCAGGCTCTAGGGGCCTGCTTCAAGCCATACAAGGCTTTCCTTAGCAAATACACATGATCCTCTTTGCCATCAACCTTGTAGCCTTCCAGTTGCTCCACAAAAATCTCCTTTGAAATCCACCCATTTAGGAATGCTGATTTGACATCTAGCTGGAAAATTTTCCAGTTAAACTGAGCTGCAAGTGCTAACAACAGCCTTATTGTGTCTTGTCTAGCTACCAAGGCAAAGGTTTCTGAAAAGTCAATACCTAGTTGTTGTGAAAAGCCCTTGACTACCAGCCTTGCCTTGTGCTTGTAAATTGAGCCATCAGGATTGATTTTCAGTTTGAAAATCCATTTCACCTGAATTACTTTCCTTTTTTCAGGTCTTGGTACCAATTTCCAGGTTTGGTTTTTATCAATCATGCTGAGCTCCTCCTACATCGCAGCCTTCCATAATTCAGACTTGGCAACTTCAAGATAACATCTTGGTTCCACCACTGCCACATTGCACCTTTCGTATACATCAGCCAGTGATCTTGTCCCTCTAACAACATGTTCTTCTTCCTCATCTAAATTAGTCTCTCGGATCAGGTCCTCATTCATCTCTTCCTGTCTTGATTCGGCCTGCACATCAACTCTCTTTTCTTCCCAGTTCTAGACTACACCTTCATCAACCTTTATATCTCTTATGATTACAATCTTCCTAGATTCAGGGATATAAACTCTATAGGCTTTAGAGTTGCTACTGTAGCCTATAAGTATCCCAATTTCAGCCTTATCATCCAATTTGGATCTTTTGCTTGCTGGGATCATTACATAGGCTATACTTCCAAATATTTTCAAGCTCCCTACAGCTGGTTTGACTCCACTCCATGCGTCAATTGGTGTTTGATGTTTGACTGCCAGGCAGCCTATTCAGAAGGAAGACTGTTGTATTAACAGCTTCAGCCCAGAACACTTTAGGAAGGTTTTTTTCAGTCATCATGCACCTAGCCATTTCCATAATGGTTCGGTTTCTTCTCTCACAAACACCATTCTGCTGAGAGGTGTATGGAGCTGTGAACTGATGTTAAATTCCAGCTTCACTGCAAATTGTGCCGAATTCATTTGAGGTGTATTCTGTCCCATTGTCACTCCTTATGGTTTTGATCAAAGTTCTAGCTTCATTCTCCACCAATAACTTGTATTTCTTGAACACAACAGCCACCTCATTTTTAGCTTCAGAAAATACACCCAAGCCACCCTTGAGTAATCATCAATAAAGAGTGCAAAGTACCTGCTGCCATTTAAGGATTCAGTCTTCATAGGACCACACACATCAGTGTGGATCAATTGCAGCTTGTGACTTGCTCTCCAGGCTTGATCCGAAGGGAATGATGGCCTGCTAAGTTTGCCAAGTTGGCAGGCTGTGCATAAGGTTTTTTTCTCCTCTATTTCAGGTAGCTCCAACACCATGTCTCTTGCCTTAAGTTTTGTGATTCCCAAGTAATGAAAGTGGCCAAACCTTTTATGCCACAAATCAGACTCATCAACCCTGCTGGTTAGTGCTAAGCTTACTAGTTTTTTCCACTCTACCGGGAAGCTTTTTCCCAGCACCCTAACACTCATTAATTCATTTCCCTCACAATCCATTATTACGCAAGCATGGTTTTGAAAATGTAAAGTGTAATTCTTCTCTAACATTTGACCTACACTTAACAAATTTTGTGCAATTTCAGGGACAAATAAAACACTTGAAATGATGTTGGTACCTGTTTGAGTTTGGACAGCCACATCTCCAATCCCTTTTGCCTCCACATAGTCACCATTTCTAACCTTGACCTTGGAGCTGTAGGTTCTGTCCATCCTAACAAAATTCTCCAATTTTGCTGCCATGTGGTTAGTACAACCACTGTCTATTAGCCAAACATCACCGCTGGTCTGCATAGAGTAGCATGAAGCTACAAATAATTACTCAGGTTCTCTGCCCTGCTGTTGGTCCTCTGCACTTTGTGCTTGCTGTGATGGTTGTGCACCTTTGTTCTTGCACACTTTTTCAATGTGCCCGAACTATTTGCACCCCCTGCATCGGATCCCAGGTCTAAACCAACACCTACTGTCTGGATGTCCCTTCTTTTTGCAGTGGGAACATGGTGGATAATTCCTTCCTCCACTCGGTTTTCCCCATTGTCCACTAGTTCTCTCTTTTCCTCTCTTATCTCCAACATACTTCCTATTGCTTCCCTGCACATTCAATCCCTTTTGAGCAGCCATCATTGCACCTTCATTGGAGTCCTCTTGTCTCATCAGCCTTCTCTGTTCTTGAGCCTGCAGGGCATGGACCAATTCGGTGAGGCTGATTTGGGAAAGGTCCTTTGAATCTTCTAAGGAAGATATCTTGGACTCAAACCTTTCGGATAGGCTGACTAACACTTTCTCAACTATCATCTTGTCACTCATCTCAACTCCTAACAATCTAATTTTGTTCACCACACTCACAAGCTCTTCTACATACTCTTTTACTTTCTCTACCTCTGCATTCTTAGCATTCTGAACTCTCTCCGCAGGTTCATAACTTGCATATTTTGGGTTGTATCACTTTCCATGAACTCCTCCCTCAGTCTATCCCAAACTTCCTTTGCAGTTTCACACGCCATTATCCTTGTAAATACAAGGTCTGATACTGCAGAGTGTATATGGGAGAGGGCTCTTGGAGCTTTTGACATCTCTTCCTCATACATCCTCATTTGATTTAGGGTGGGGTTTGGACCAAGCTGCGGTGGCTATTTTTCTTCTTCCACTCTCATTCTAACAGCCCAAATATGATATTGATCCCCATTGAACACTGGAGGTGAGAGAGAAGCCGACTGAGTTGCCATGGAAACCAGGTTGCAGTTGCTATTCTTCGGAAGGTTGAAGTTTGATGATGATTCAAGATGTTTTTTTTTGAGTGAATTTGTTAGATGATAGTTTGTTAATCCAACTCTGATACCATGTTGTTGTTCTTGCTTATGCCGGATGTGCAAAGAAAAGGAGAACTAATCTAATTTCATTATCAAAACACGGACTGCATATAACATGCTTTTGCTTACTGTTGCAGCCACTGTCAATAAGACTTTTACACAATCCCAGCTAATCCACACAAATCCACCAACTACATTACATATTAGAGACACAAAGCCTCAAAATAAGTTGAGTTTCTTAAGTCAAATTATAACATACAGGTTGACAAATTAAGCCTAAACTACTGCACTCAAAACAGCACCATGCACGTCACTTTGGTTGCATCAAACCAGCTTCAAACTTTCAGTTCCAGCAAAATATACTTCCAGCACAGCATCAACCTTCAACATTTATCACTCTACTCGGCATATCCAATCTGACTCAGTTGGATCAGTAAAAACTGAAATATCGGAACATATAACCTCACCTGCGAGGTATGTCATGGCCCTCCCATACGCCTTGCTTTTTCATGATTTTAACTTTTGCTAGCTGTGCTATGTTCCTGTATTGAAATCAAGCCACTCTTAGAAACATTGAAAACCAAACAGAAGTCCAGTAACTTGAATAATAAATAAAACCATTAGCCTCCAGAAGTTTAAGCAAATGAAAAACATATGAAAAGAAACCAGAAAAACCAAAAATATATATTTTATCTTCAATTGATAGTGTAGTGTGACAAATATATACAGAAAACAGAATGTCACCAGAAACACTTTGCCAGAAACTGAGCCAACAAATTTCAATGTGCTCAGAAGTTAAAAGCTGCTCAGCGTTATAATGTTATATGGTATCACCAATTTTATCTATTCCAAATAATCATGATCAACATACTTAAGCCGAGAGGGCATCGATCACCATATCAAGCTGCCATCAGGCATGTTCTTCTCAATAGACTCGACTACTAAACACTTAATATATCTTATAAGAAGTAATGAACTCATTAATTGATTGACTCACCGTGATTGTGAAGAAGGCTGCGAAAGAGAAGCAAAAGATCCTTGAGTACCAGCAAGCTTCAAATAAGTGCTCTGCTCCACAGAAAAGAAAGGTCAGCAGTTGGAAAAATTATCACAAGGTTTTAATTAAAGAGACAAGTGAAGCACAGCTCATAAAAATCTGAAATTCTGACTTTGTATGAAATGATTCAGAACACAAGTATAACATTAAAATTCAAATTAGTGTAGTGATCCATAAGTTAATTTGAAAGCAAGTAAAGCTATACTACTCAATTTTAATTAACAGGGAGCAGAGCCAAACTCAAAGAGAAAATACAATAAAAATGAACAAAAGAGAGATCCTTGTTATAGAAAGATGTGATAACATGTATTCGCACAACTTAACAACTTAACTTACTCTTCAGATGGACCTATGAAAGAAATATTTTGAACTAACATAGTAGTGTAATTTAAGATCAAGCAACTTTTTACTATTCTTTCTGAAGTCTAAATAGTAAAGATGTTGATACCTGATTAACTAACTGGTTTTGGAATTTTTCTGGGTGTAATTTCTTCTCAGAATGAAATGCATATGACACTTGAGCATCCATTCCTGTATAAGAAAAACTTATAGGTCGACAAACTGAGCAGCTACACCTATGTAATAAGAACTGGTTGCCACCAAACACAATTAAACTTTCCTTTCAAACATCATCAATGGATCACCTTCATATGATTATAGAAATTAAATTTCGTATTTCTTACCCATGCTGAAGTAGTTCCAAAATCCCCCACGAAATGTGTGGCAACCCTCCTGAGAACATTCAACAAAACATTTAACAGTAAGCCAGCAATGTCAGATTCGCATAAACCATGTAAAAACACACAAAATAATAATAGTAAAAAGAAAAGAAAAGACTTACCACATTCTGAGTATCTTTTTCGGAGACGCGATCAAATGCATGCAAAGAATGGGGTAATTCAAGAGGTGCAATGGGATCACAAGGTCCTTGTTTAGGAATCCTCGTTCTCATTAGAATATGCCAGCTAAAATTTGATTGAAAAAAATATATGATTGGTAAACGGAAAATAAAGTAAAATTCGGACAGAGAAAAATATAGATTTCCCAATTTAACCACAAAGAGGGAAAATATAACTATATATGAATACAGAGAAATGTCTAGTCCCACTGGATTGCTTAGTGGTGATGCCATGAATAAGTATCTTTAGTGGTATATAGTATAAGCCATCATGGATGCATTGCCTGTCGATTTTCATTTCTTTTGCATTCTTTACTTGTCCCATGAATGACAGCACAGACTGACGGTCTGTGCTTGGATTTTTCTTTCCCTGAGAATTATCCAAATATATGGTATAAGAATCGTGCTAAACTGGTAATAAGATATTAATATCAAGACAGAAATCCGTTATAAGATTGGCATTCTCTAAGTTCAGCTACAAGAGACAGGTAAACATATAACCTACCCAACCAAATGCGAACGGGAGGTTGTTTCCTGTTCCTAATGGCACTGTAGCAATTGGAGGTGGATGAGATAGTTTAAGATCAGAAACAACTCCAAGAAGCCAGCCAGCTGTGCCATCTCCCCCGGCATCAAAGATATCGAGGTCAAATCCAGGACATATGGAAAGGAAAATATGTAAGAATCATTATTGATATCCGTAGGCAGAATATTATATATTTCTGGACAAGCGTACTCGCAATTATTCTCAATTTCTTCAGAATTTCAGCAGCCAAAACGTCTCCAGCATGCCTTAACTTTTCTAAATTGGCATAACGTTCATGTAGCACTTTATCAGGGGCCTTTTCTCCCAAATCAAAAACCTGAAATTTGCTAACTCTACCATCAGTTCCACTGAAAACAAACATAATCGTAATCACACATGTACAAATCCTTCAATTACCTGGTTTTCATTAAGAAGAGAACGATAACTGACAAGAAGTTCCCCACCCAATTGACCACCACGTCTGGAGTTAAGGAACACTATCACCGGACAAGCAGGTATGTGGGAAGCATTTGTGGCCTCAGATCCAGCCACAAGAATGTAATTTGGAACATAATAATAGAAACAAATTTGTAAGTTCACAATATGATGCAAATAGTGAATCCCCATTTTGTTCGGTGATACACACATTTTTCTAATGCAGTTTAGAACTCGAAGCAGAGCCTTAAACATTTTAGGGAAGCTAAGAGTCATCACGATGTACAAACGTTTCTGAAAAGAATCAAAATCAAAAGGGGTAAAAAGCCAAAGATATAAAAGCCCACCATGAAAATTCTTCCTCTGTTTTCTCGAATTAACTCAAATTCATCAAAGGGAGTAAAACTGGAATCATATTCCTTGTACTAGGCCTATAACAGAGGAAAAAAATAATAGAAAAAATAAATATTCACAAACCCAGAAAGAATATGTCAAATGCCAATTCAATTCTCAAAAACAGTAAGAATTTAATAAAATTCCATATTCGCATTTATTTAGATCATAACTATTTGTCACATTCTCCAAGCACAAACCTAGAGTAATCCTCATTATTCACCGAAAAAAAAAAAGAAGAAGAAGAAGAAAGCACTAATTCGATAGCCTCATACTCATCTAATCTCACCTTTTTGATAGAAGATGAGATTAGATGTGGACGGCTCTACATTAAGTTATTTTTTTGATGGTCAAATGGAAATTGTTTTTATTTGATCATTTGGTTTCTTTAATTAAAGGAGTAGTCATCTTGTTTGTGATTATCGGAATAGAATATTTTAACAAGTTTTGTACAATTTGGACTGTCACATTAGGGGAAGTGGAAACTAAACTAGGTTATGTGGGGGTAGGTTTTTGTTAAATAATGTTTTTGTTTAAATTAAAATTTGAAGAGTTTATTTGTTGGGATGTAACTGCAGTCTACTGCTTATGTTGATGAACATTTATGCCACTGATATTTCTAGTCCCATTCTGAATACTCGTATACTTGGCTGTGGGGTTGAGGACATTTTGGTGATTTTTGGGAAGTTCCTGTTGCATGTCCATGGAAGCAGGGGATACTTGCAGTTGCAGAAGCTTGTACTAATGGAATGCCCATTGGATTGGAAGTAGAGAAGGAGGAGGTGAGATTACATAAATACCCACGGATATTACTTTAGATACGGTAAAAATAGAGGGCAGTTTTGTAGTTGGGGCATGATGTATTATCCGTATTTGCAGGTAGTTTGGTGTGAAACACGTGGGTATTCGCAGGACATTGTGAAATGGTGATGTTGGTGCGTATCAATGTCATTTCAAACAAAGTTAAGACTTTTTCCCACGCAAATAATACTTTAATGACATTTTCCAATCCAAAACTTTTAAAATACTATTTTATTATCCAAATTTATATTTCAACAACAAACATAAAGCAAACTCGATTCAGCCTATTGGGATTTTTAAAGAGAGAAGGTTGATGAGTTTTTTGGTAGTAAAATATTAGATTTTGATGATTGAAATTGATCAGAATTTGATTTCAAAAGGACAGATATATAAACCCCAATCACTTAATTGCCAGTAATTGGCATGATCTACGAAAGTAGAGTTTGAAGGGTTTTGATGAATGATGATCGGGGACGAGAATGATAGTGGTGTGGGTCACAATGATGCTAGAATCAGAAACGGAATATAAATTTGGATAATAAAGTGGTATTTTAAAAGTCTGTGGGTGGAAAAGTATTATTAAACCACTATTTGGGTGGGAAAAAGTCATTTACTCTTTTAAACAAGTAACATTTAAAAGAGTAATAATGTTTTGCTTACAATAAGTCATACAATCAGACAAAAATTAGACAAATTTTATGTAAAATCATACTCTATCTTTTGTTTTTTCTTTGATTATATGACTTAGTTATAAGCATAAATTTACTCTTAAAAAAGGTAAGGAAATGCTATTGCTACGTCAACCCAACTGTTAATAATGTACCTTTGAAATAAAATAAAATATATAATATGGGAAACATTGAGTTAAAGAGGTTAGATGTATAATTGAGGTTTTGTAATTCGGTAGCTATATTAAAATGCCATAAGATGCTTTATCTGTGATGGATACCAAATATTAGGTCATCAATGAATAATGGTGTAGCTGTAACATTTTATTTCTGATGGTTATTATCAACTGCGAAGGGTTGTCTCTAAAGTCTTATTTGATTAAGTTTGAAGTCATTTTCAATGAACAAGTTTAAAGAAAAAGAATGTATTCCTGTCTGTGTAGAATGATGCATTTTTTCTGTATTCATGTGGACAACTTCTGGACATTTGTCATCGCGCGTCGTTTTCCTTGCCATGGCAGCAAACTTCTGGACAACTTCAATCTTCAATCGTGCCGTGGCGAAACCTTTTCCTTGTCGTTGTGAAGCCATCTTTGGAATTTTTCCAGAATTCTTCAGCCTTTGCTTCTTCTTGCTTGCCTTTTCTTCTTCACCAATATATTCATCAATTACCAAAAAGTGTTCATATTGCAACATGATCTTCTCATGTAAAGTTGTATTCAACAAAGAAAGAGTTTGTATTTTCTAATCATTATTGAAAAATCTCAAAACCCTGTAAAATATAATAGTGGGCAATTTTTGTAGTCTGATATTGGATAGTTAACAAAGGATTTTAACCTTTTGTGAGCTACGTAAGGAGAGACTTGTATTTTTATATTATCTCTTCTTTCTATATTGTCCGTGTATTATCTCTTCTTTGTACATTAAGTAGTATAACAGTAATATTCATCCAAAAAAAAAAAAAAAAAAACGGCACAATAAATAAAATATTTAAATAATTAAAAGAAATGATTGATCTCTTCAAGTCTTTTTATATTATTTAATGCACTAACTTAATATTTACATAATTAAAAGAGATGATTATCACTAAAACACGACTTTCTACCACTTCCTCTGGCGTCTTCGTCGATTATGTTACAAATCTCTTACCTTTATCACCTTAAGGAATTCTCTCACCTTAAGAAGACAAAATGAAAGGACAAAAAATTGTGCTGGTCGTTGTTCTCTACAGCTACACCTTTGGTCACAATTCCAAGAGAATCTGAACTTGAATACAAGGCTAATAGATTCTACTGCTTGTTGAAGTGAGCATAATATTCATCGCAACGTAAGATAAAACTTTTATCCACATATCCTATATTCCATGACATAGATAGAGTACCCCTGAAAAGCATTGGTATAATTATGGAATTAAAAAAAAAATGAAAACTATGCATGTCTTGGAAAACCTTGGGCCAATAGGTTTGATCATTCCAGAAGGGAAAAGAGAACTACAACTCTTGAACATTACTTCTTTTAAAATAAATAAATAAAAAACTTAATATAATAGATATGTTCATCTCCATAAATATAATACTGGAATCTTCAAAAACCCGTAAAGTTTATCTTCACTACACAAAGGTCCAACAGGTTTCAAAGGTTATCAAAATCAAATTTAAATCACTGAAACTCCGGTCCTTCTATCCATGGGTTGTTGGCTAGTAACCTAATCCACTTGTCCCTGCAAATTAAAGGCAGTTATTGTCAGCCACTTTTTCGCTAAACAAAAAACAGAAGCTTATGGCTCAGTTACAAGTTTACTAATTCATTTGATAGGACTGTTCTACTTCAATTCCAGGTAAACTGCCACTAGTCATTATAATATTACTTGCAACTGGTTCGATCAATGAAATATTAATAATTAATTCATCTTCATAAATATGATATGGGAAATTCAAACCCCTGAAGTTTATCTTCAGTATATTAAGGTCTAACAAAACTATAAGATAATTACAGGTACCTTTATTAAGTTTACCCATATTCTGCTGAAGCTGAGCCCTTCAATCAATGGGTTGTTGTCTAGCAAGCACATTTTTGTTCCTCTCTGCAAAATTGAAAGCAATCCATATGTAATTAAAAGGAAAAGGAAATTAACTCAAATTTGATATATAGCATTCTACCTCTTGTGGTTGCCATACTGGTAAGATAATTGACTCTAATTTTCAAGAGTTTAGATACCACTTCTCTAATGTTGATCCTCTCCCCAGGTGATTCTCTTGTACACTCCATTGCCAAACTCAAGATTGATGATAAACATTCCTCCTTTCTAGAGAAACTTTCATCATCCCTACTTACCAAATTGCTATCCACAACTTTCATCACTGCACTACATAATGATTCACCAACCCAACTCCTTAAGCTCATTTCCTCACTAAATATTTCATCTGTTGATTTCTTTCTTGTAAATGTTTCCATTAGCATAATACCAAAGCTGTAAACATCTCCCTTTCGCGATACTTTTCCTTCTCTTCCATACTCTGTTTATCATGATCGCATGTCGGATCATTGTTAGATAAATTAATGTGTCTTTTTACAAGAAAAATAATAATGAATAACGAAGTAAATTTAGCAAGAAAAACAAATATAGAGTCTGAAAAAACTAATTACCTGGTGCCATATAACCAATGGTAGCAAGGGTTTGTGTTTGCATCATAGAGTCTTCTTCACGTAAGAGCTTTGAAATTCCAAAATCGCTCAAATGTGCAACCATATTTTCATCTAGCAAGATGTTGTTGGGCTTTAAGTCACAATGTACAATGGGGGCTGAATGACCGAAATGGAGATATTCCAAAGCAGATGCAACATCTATCATTATGTTCAACCGATGTGAAACATCCAAAATGCAGTTGTCAGAATACAAACATTTCGCCAAGCTCCCATTGGGCATGTACTCGAGTATCAAAGATTTAAAATCATCATTTGAGCAACTACTAATGATTTTAACAAGATTTCGATGTCGAGTACTAGCCAGAACTTCACATTCTGCTTCAAAACTGATGAGTGCGCCTTCAAAATGTAGGTGGAATACCTTTACTGCAAGCTCCATCCCATCATCTAATCTTCCTCTGTAAACTGAACCATAGCTTCCTCTGCCAAGTAGGTTGTTCTCACTAAATCCATCTGTAGCTCTAACTAGTTCTTGGTAGGAAATTCTTCTCCATGCATGTTGTGGATACTCTTCAACATTAGTAGGTGGCTTTCTGCTCTTCTTTCGGCCTTTGGTCAACACAAATGTAAGAACCAGGATAACCATTGTGACTGCAATGCTTAGTGGCAAAACAATCAATAGCAGAACCTTTTTTGTCCTTGATTTTCGATGAGTGCTTGTTTGGCATTGTGGAAGTTGCAATTGTGGAGATCCACACAATGCAAGATTCCCCTTAAATGATTCAACCGAGAAGTTTCTAAAAGTTCCACCAGTAGGAATTTCACCACTTAGTTAGTTGAAAGACAAATTTAGATATATGAGGTATGAGAGTTTCTCTAAAGACTTAGGAATAACTCCAAAGAGATTGTTATTAGACAGATCCAAGAACTCCAAGCTTGTCATGTCACCAATTGATTTAGGAATCAAGCCCTCAAATCTATTATATCCTAAGGAGAGATTCTGTAGATTTTTTAGGCTTCCAATATCAGTTGGAATATTGCCTGACAAATGATTCCTTGACAAATCTATAGCTACTACAACTTCTAGACTTTGAATTTCTAATGGGAGAGATCCATTTAGAAAATTTGATGACAGATTAAAGTACAAGATGTCCTTAAGCTGCCACAAAGTTGAGGGTATGACAAAAGTTAACCTATTGGAGGCCAATGATAGTTTTCTTAGTGTAGTGAGATTGCCTAAGCATGCAGGTATAGATCCATAAATGTTGTTACCATCTAGCTGCAACTTATCTAATTTAATCAAAAGACAAAGATGATCTGGTATGGATCCTTCCAATTTGTCATCTCTAAGATTCAAACCTTGGAGTGTTTGTAGTCCACCTAGTGTAGCTGGAATAGGTCCAGTCAATTCATTGCTTTGTAATTGGATTTCTATCAGGTGGTTTAAGTTTTCTATCTCTTTCGGAATGTTGCCACTAATATTGCAATCATTCATGTAAACATTTTCCAAGGAAATAGAAAGATTTCCTATGGAACTTGGAAGGATGCTATTGAATGGAATTGATGATAACTCTAAGAGTTTTAAATTCTTGCAATTTGCCAAAGAAGAAAAAATGCCCAAATTTGGAGTGGGTGATGTGAAGTAATTGTCCGCTAAGACAAGCCACTCAAGGTTTCTTAAATTACCAATTGTACTAGGAATGAAGCCTGTGAATGAATTACTTGAAATATCTAGCATTGAAAGCTTGGAAGCATTGATGATGAAGCTTGGAAATGGCCCACTAAAATCATTAGATCCCACTGTAAAACCCCTAAGATTTGAAAGTTTAGTATTAGTTGGAAGAATTCCTGAGAGTTTATTTCCTGCAATTCCAATTATTTTGATTGTTGAGATGTTGAAGATGGTAGTTGGAATAGGTCCAACTAGATTGTTCTATGAGAGTCCCAACTCCTCTAGATTATGAAGACCACCGATTTCATGTGGCATCTCACCTGAAAATATGAGAGCTCATCAACTGTATAATGAGATTACTAGAAAAAGAAGATGCATCATAATAAGACTAACTTTTCTTCGTTTAATCATAAAACAACTTTAATTGTGAGACTTGAAAAAAGTTTTAAAAGTAATGGTCAAATCATATCAAACAGCTACAGTAATCAAGGTTGAATAAATCATACCTTGTAGTTGATTGTAGCCAAAATGCATCTTAAGCTGAGTCAAATTTCCGATTTCTTTTGGTATGGCTCCTTTAAAATAATTGAAAGATGTCATTTCATTTAACAAAACATGATATATACATGAAGTTGCAATTTTGTGCAACAAAGATTTAAAATTTTATATGTAGCCTCACGCTTGCATATATCATACCTTGGATTTTATTTTGGTATAGAGAAAACATCTGAAGCCGAGTCCAGTTTAGAATATTTTTTGGTATGACTCCTGTGAAATAACAAAACAAAAAGGATATACTTTTTAACTCTATTAGATTTGTAGTAAATTGTGAAGTTCGTGTTAATTACTAGTAAAATGATCACGAGAATATCTATAGTACCACAAGGGTAACATATCACCCATACCACCAACCAATATATTGCTGCACAAAGATTTTTAAATTGATAACTTCCAATCACTTTAATGATAAAGATTCAGGAGAAAAAAAAATTCATAGGTGGTTTTAAAGTTAATTAACGATTAAGAACAGAGTGGTTGTATGCTAACAAGATGTACCAGTGATCAGATGATTAGATACAAGTGAAAAACTCCTCAGTTGTGCAAGATTTCCCAACTCCTGTGGAATGTTTCCTACAAAATCACAATGGTAAGATTGGAGCAAATAAAGGTTAAAAATATGAATTTTGAGATACAAGCTAATGCTGACAAAATCTATATCTGGGAAGATCGGAACACTGATGATGAAGAATATTCTACTTAATTACTCACATATTTTTATTTCATTATTCTATTAAATTCCTATATTGTTAGTTTCATATTAAAAATATTTGAAACGGATTTAGTAGCCGTATATATTGCAGTTATATTTTATAAAGAAGAATTTTTAGAAAGAAGTATCTATATGTACCTTGGAGACTATTGAGGCCAAGAAATAACGACTTAAGTTGTGTCAAATTTCCGATTTCTTTTGGTATGGCTCCTGTTAAATGATTGTTTGCCAAGGATAAATGTTGCAAATGTCTGCATTTTGATAAAGTGGATGGTATTTCACCAACAAACGTGTTATCATATAAATAAAGCACTTCGAAATTAGGAAGATATTCAAAAATGGTTGGAGAGAGTCCACCAGATAATCCATTATGACTTAAGTCAGTAGATATCAACGAAGGCATGGTGAAAATGATGGAAGGGAAGGAACCTGAGAGTTGGTTACCATATATACTAAGTGTTTGCAGTGAAGATATGTTGAAGATGGAGGTGGAATGGAACCTGAAAGCTCATTATAATCAAGCATAAGTTCTTGCAATGAAGACAAACTGCCTAAGGATTGAGGGATAGTCCCTGAAAATGTTATTTCATTCAAACTCAAGATTCGAAGTTTGGTTAAGGACCCAAACCATGATGGGATCTCTAAATTGATGAAGTTATTGAAACTGAAATCAAAGTATTCGAGTCGACGTAACTGAGCCAACTCATCAGGGAGAGTGCCATGAAAGCTATTGTTTCTGATGGAGAGAAATGAAAGGAAAGGTAGATTTCCTAGTTGAGGAGGAATGGTGCCAGTAAGATTCAAGTAAGAAATATCCAAAGCTCTGACTCTATGGTGACGGGCACCACAAGTGATGCCACTCCATTCACAAATAGAGGTGCTTGCGGACCAATTACTGTCCAAAAAATTGGTAGGATCATGGGTTATATGAGCTTTAAGTGCAAGAAGAGCTTGTTGGTCTGTGAAAATGTTGGTTCGTTTTGCACTGACATAGGAAAATGTCGAAAATTGAACAGTGGAGCAATGAATAAAATGCACAGAGAACGATATTTCTCCATGAGAGGCCAAGATAATTGGTATATAGCCGTAGGACAAGCACTCACAAGTTGATATATAGAGCTGGGTGGACAGCCTTACCTATGCTCATGGTGCTAGAAATATCTAAAATTTAGAAATTTTTCCATTAGATTGGACAGCGTCATCGCATTTAATATGGATGGTTCCCATAAGAGACAAGTGCGGGCAGGCCCGGCTCAAGGGGTAGGCAGGTGATGCCCCCTGCTAGGCCCCCAAAAATAGGGACCAAATTTTTATAATTTTTTTATATATTCAAAATAAAAATGTGTATGATTTTTTATCCAAGCAAGGAGAAAAAAAAAGCCAAAAGACTCAAATTTATTATAAATTTTTTACATATATCCCACCCAAAGTTTGATAAAATAGTAAGTTTGTACGTCTAGTTTCAATATTCAATTTACACCCTTAAATAACAAATTAAATTTCTTTAACAATAAAAGACTAAAATAGTTATTTACATGTCTCAATTACTTAACCTCAATTCCATCCCAAATTTTGACATTCATATAAATTATCTCCACTCCTCTTTCGCCACCAGCCGTTTGGAGTTGATTCCCATCAATTTTCTTATAAAATTGACTGGAATCATCACTTTATCATTTTCTCAAGTGTTTTTCCAGCCTTGATAGCTCTCGATTTGACCGATTTTTTACGAATCTCATAACCCAACTCATCGTGCACAACAGCCATTTTCGATCTTTTCAGCATGTACCCGACGTTTGTTGCCTCCAACACCACCATCTTCCTCCCCTCAACCCTTTCACCAAAATCCCTATCATACCCTCATATGTTTACTCCGTCAAATCGCCGGCCACCGAAACCTTTTGGGTTGCGACTTCTCTAGTCTTTTCTGCCAATCCGACATTAGAAATTACTTATTTCATCACCCATCATTTCTCCAATCTGCTCTCTAAACCCCCCCCAACCTAACCCAGTTGCCTTCGATCGGCGTCCACCTCTCCTAGTGATTTTGCATCTCAAAGCAAGAAAATAAATTTGAAATATTTTTTTTAATATATGCTTATATTATTAGAAGGCCCCAAAGTTTCTTGTCTGGTCATAAATTTCTTGAGACGGCCCTGAGAGGGGTACAGTGACCCCATTCAATTATTTATTTATTTTTCATAAATCCTCTAATTATTTGTCTTACTTTTATCCATCAGATAAGTGAAGATATATAATCAGTGGCGTGCAAGAGACTTATAAGTGGTGGTTGAACTGAAGACCATCGGTAGTGCATACTTGCATATCTTACACAAAATCTTAATTTAATTTAAAATCACGAAACTCAGCCCTACCGTTTCTAATCATATACACGTGTCACCATATGCATAAACAACTACCCTAATGTTTACTTATTCAGTGCTCGTGCAATGTATTAAAATGTCATAAAATAAAATTTTACCATAAGAGAAAAAAATCGGATTTTTAATTTGGGATTTGACCGAAAAGGACAGAACATGTGGAAGTAATATTGTGAAGATAAATTTATCTTACAAAGAAGTTTACAAAGTAGCTCAAAGTGAAAAAAAAACAAAGAAAACGAAAAGAGAAAGAGAGAGATGAGAAAATGATGAGATGAAGGTGAGATAATGTATGCTGTAGGCTCTTGAAGATGAATCCTATTGGAAATTATGATTGGTGGGAGGAAGGTTGGATTAGATTAAAAGTTGTTAAAGTTTAGTGTGAAAGTTTGAAAAATGTTACGGACACTGACGTTTCATGAATTTTTACATCGAACGACGTGTCTATTGAATCAAACGAGTCATATATCATCTTAATAAATATTCCGCGAATGAACGGTTGTCATCAAATATGACAAGGGTCCATTGTTATTGGATGTCACCCACCTAGAATGGACGTTTGTTCATAGTTTAAACTAAAAAGATTGGTTTAAATTGTTTGACATCCGTCCTTTTATGAGGACAACTCCATAGTTATGGACGATCGTCTTCATAAGAGAACAGGCGTCCACCTTTTAATATAACAAATTTTAAATTTTAAATTTATTGAATGCATTATTGTGAATCCTAATTGAGTTAGAATATGACACTTGTCCAATTACTTTGAATATAGACAAAAATTTAATGAAGTTTGTTCAATTACTTTGAATATTGACAAAAATTGAATGAAGATAGCGACATTTATTTTTGGATTGAGACAAAATTGAATGTAAATTTTTTAAATTAAACAATGGATAGGCTCAACTCAAAGGGATGTCTATGAATGTAAATTTTTTTTAAATTTTTTGGACGAGCGTCCATCTTTTTTGGACGTCATCCTAGTAAATAGACATCGTCCATATAAGATGGATGGCGTCCATTATTTTTCTTTTAAATTTTTTGGACGGATGTCCATCTAGTAATAGACGACCGTCCAATAAATGAAAAGAAGTCTATTAAATATGGGCGGGCGTCTATAAATTTGAGGTCATTCATTAACGAAAGACTCAGCATGGTCGCGTCTGACTGGTTTCATGTCCTTCGATACAAAAATTTGGTATGAAATTTCGATGTCCGTAACATTACTCGTGAAAGTTTAGGTAATATTGTGTGGATTTTGTGGGAGGAAGGTTCCATAGATTACGAAGTTGTTAAAGTCCCCCTCACTTCTATAACATAATGTTATTTGATCTTTTCAGTAAATGTCACATCAAACTTGTTAGAAATTGGTGGAACAAAAAAACAAAAATAAAACAATAACTTGCATAAAATTCACACTAACTACGACATTATATGGTTCGACATAAATCATCAATTCAGATAAGTATGATATTTACGTAGTTCGACATAAATCACCTACATTCACAGATGAGAGTTTCGCTATAATTTAAGAACATTCTCACATTTCTCTCTTCTCTTATTAGTTGTAACTTTGAATTGATTCTACCAATATATTTATAGGTAGAATAAGACATTTTTTTTTTTTTTTTTATACTAGGATTCATACTTTAAATCCTATAGAATCCTCTAATTTAATTCATTCTTCATTTTAACTCAAAATAAAGTTATAAATCAATTCTTACAATTCTAGTAAAAGAAAAAACAATATTCTCTATTATAAATTCCTAATTGAAATTTGCCTAAACTGAAATTCATTTTTCTTCTTATTTGCCTCTTCTTCTTCAACAAGATTTTCTCCCATAACCAAAAAGTGTTCACATTTCAATAAAACTCTTATTTATTTAATTTTAATCAATAATCAGTTAAACACTTCAAATTCTAGGCCAACCCTGACAAAACCAAAGTCTATCACTATCGCTTTGGCTACAATGTTGTGAAAGCACCATTTTTTTTTTTTTTATATAAAATCAAAGCTAGTAACATTTACTACAAATTATAACATATAGCTACAAAAATTAGCTATAAAAAGGAAAACTGTAGCAAATACATTTTACACTACATAAGTCAATATTTATAGCTATTGAAATAATTTTAATGATAAGATTTCCTCTCTCGAACTAAAATTCATCTCTTGCTTTAATTTAGTGTTTTAAATTGATTTCCTCCCTCGAAGCTATTAGTAATAAATGGGGCCATTAGAGGAGAATAATTGATTAAAAGGAATATTGCTTAGAAAAGGGCCTGTAACACACAACAACCTGGAAATCAAATGATATAGATTTATATCTGAAAGAATATAAGAAAAGGCTAAATACTTAGGCCAATACAGTGAAACAGAGCAAGAGAAAGAACTATCTCCTTAGAAAAGGAAATGGAAATTAGCCTTAATTTGAAACCCTTCTGCCTCTTGACGTTGTCCCTTTGCAAATTTGACTCTGATTTTTCAAGAGTCTTGGTCCACTTCTTTGTGTTGAGATTCTCTTGTACACTCCATAGCCAAACTCAAGATAGATGAAACACTTCCTCCTTGCTAGAAAAATGTTCATCACCCATTCTTATCAAATTTGTGTATACAACTTTCATCACTGTACTATTAATGATTCCCCAACCCAATCCTTTAGCTCATTTCTTTAGTAAATATTTCATCTGTTGCTTCTTCCCGTAAATGTTTCCATAAGCATAAATCCCATAACTGTACAAATCTCTTTTCTAGATATTCTTCCTTCCCTTCCATATTCTATATGGATATATATCATTAAGTTTTTTTTTGGCTAAGAGAACAGAAAAGAATCAGTAACAAAGAAAATTAATGAAAAATAAATATTGAATTAGAAACAATCACCAGAGCCATATAACCAATGGTGGCAAGGGTTTGTGTTTGTGTCATTGAGTCTTCTTCACCTAAAAGCTTCGCGATGCCAAAATCGCAATGTGGATCATATTATCATCTAGCAAGACATTGTTGCTTTAAGTCACAATGAACGATTGGGGTTGAATAACCAAAATGGAGATTTCCAAGTTGATGCAACTCATCATTATGTTCGACCTTTGTGAAATGTCATAACATATTTTCATAATAAAACTTTTCCTAATGCTCCTGTTGGGCATATACCTAGATCAAAGATTTAAAATCATAGTTTGAACAATTGCTGATGATTTTGACAAGATTTTGATGACAAATATTGCTTATTTTCACATTCAGCTTCAAAACCGAAAGAGCTCCTTCAAAATGCAGGTGGAAACCTTTACTGCAAGCTCCATCCCGTCATCTAATCTTCCTATGTAAACTGAGCCATAACTCTCTCCCAAGCAGGTTGGTTTCACTGAATCCATTTGTTGCTCTTGAAAGTTCATGGTAAGAAATTCTTCTCCATGTTGCTCACATTAGGCGGTGCCTCGTTTCTTTCTCCGGCATTTGATAACAAATATATAACAAAGACAACTAATGAATGTAGTGCTAGTGGCAAAACAATCGATATGACAACCTTATCTACACTTGACTTTCCAATGTGCTAGTTTTGCATAGCGACCTATAGTTTTTGAACTATAATGCTAGGTTCCCCTAAATGATTCAGCTAAAAATTTCCAAAAGATCCTCCTCTAGGAATTGCACCACTTGGTTGAATGATAATTTTAGTATTGAGGAACAATAGTGACTCTATGACTTGGATCAATCCAGAAAGATTGGTACTAGACAAATCCAAATATTCCAAGCTTCTTAACTCACCAAATGTTTTAGGAATTGAGCCTTAAATCTATTGTATGCTAAAGAGAGATTTTGTAGATTTTCTAAGCTACCCATACGATTGGAATATTTCTTGAAAAAAGATTCCTTGACAATTTATATAATCGCAACCTTAAGATTGCCACTGTCTAATGAAAGATATCCCTTTAGAGAATTGACGACAAATCAATGAACAAAGATATCCTGAAGGTCCACAAGTTGAAGGATATAAAGAAGTTAACCTATTGAAACGTAAAGACATTTTTCTCAGTGTAGTGAGATTCCCTAAGCATCCAGGTATGGATCCATTTATCTTGTTACCATCCAATCGCAACTCAACCAATAGTCAAATACAAAGATCATTTGGGGTAAGTCCAGTTTATTATCTCAAAGATAAAAACCCTGGAGATTCTCTAGTCCACCAAGTGCATGTAATTGGAATTGATCCAGTCAATTCATTACCTTCTAAGTGTATTTCTATCAAGTTGATTATGCAATCTTTCAAGTGAACATATTCCAAGGAATAGAACATTACCTATGGCACTTGAGGATGCTATTTTCTGGATTCCCGGCTAGTCTGATGTCTTAAATTCTTGCAATTTGTAAAAATGGGAAAAAAACCT